GGGGACAGAGCCTCTGTGGGGACAGAGCCCCTTTGGGGACAGAGCCACCTCTGTGGGGACAGAGCCACCTCTGGGGACAGAGCCACCTCCGTGGGGACAGAGCCACCTCCGTAGGGACAGAGCCACCTCTGTGGGGACAGCGCCCCTGTGGGGACAGAGCCCCTGTGGGGACAGAGCCATCTCTGTGGGGACAGAGCCACCTCTGGGGACAGAGCTTCTGTGAGGGCAGAGCTGCCGGGCCAGCAGCCCTGGTGACACTGGGGGTGTGGGTGACATCTCTGGTGGTCCCTCCGATCTGCAGGTGACACTGGGGATGTGGGTGACACCTCTGGTGACCCCCGCCACCTGCAGGTCCCTTCTTCGCACCCGGCTGAGGGCGGGGATTGGGGCGGGCGGTGTCGGACTCTGCCGGGGCTTCCCCCGCTCATTAACGGCAATATCCTAATGAGGATTCCTAATGAGGATTCCCGAGCATCCCCCTGACCCCTCCCCGCGTCCCGCAGTGTTCGAGAACAGCAGCAAGATCGTGATCGTGATGGAGTACGCCAGCCGAGGGGACCTGTACGATTACATCAGCGAGCGGCAGCGCCTCTCGGAGCGGGAGGCGCGACACTTCTTCCGCCAGGTCGTGTCCGCCGTCTACTACTGCCACAAGGTGAGCTGGCACCGCGCTTCCCGGGGCGGGAGAGGGATGGGTGCGCTCCTGAGGGCTCGGGGGAGGGATATGGAGGTGCGGGAGAGGGGCTGGAAGGGCTCCTGAGCGCTCGACAGGGCGATGGAAGTGCGAAAGAGGGGTCGGGTGGGATCCTGAGGGGCCGGCAGGGCGATGGAGGTGGGGGAGAAGGGCTGGAAGGGCTTCTGAGGGCTCGGCAGGGTGGGTGGAGGTGCAGGAGAGGGTCCGGGTGGGCTTTCTGAGTGCGATGGAGGAGCCTCAGAGGGTCTGGATGGGATCCTGAGCCCTCGCCAGGGCGATGGAGGAACCTCAGAGGGGTTGGGTGGGATCCTGAGAGCTTGGCAGGGCGATGGAGATGCCTCAGAGGAGCCGGGTGGGCTCCTGAGCGCTCGGAGGGGTGATGGAGGTGCGGGAGAAGGGCAGAATGGGCTCCTGAGCTCTCAGCAAGGTGGAGAGGTGGTGCAGAGGGGCTGGGTGCGCTCCTGAGTGCTCGGAGGGGCTGGGTGGGATCATGAACGCTCAGAAGGGCTATGGAGGTGGGGGAGAAGGGCTGGAAGGGCTCCTGAGCGCTCTGCAGGGCAGGTGGAAGTGCCGCAAAGGGTCCGGGTGCGCTCCTGAGCGCTCGGGGCAGGATCCAGCCCCACGGGGAAGCTCAGGCCRGGCTGGAAGGTGAGAGCTGCTCGTGGTTCTCACCTTTCCCGGGAGCTGGGCCGATCCCGCCTGTTGTCTGCAGGGCGGGGCAGCTTTTGGGAGGTCCCGGCCTGGCCCCTGCGGTGCGGGGGTGACTAACCCGGCAGCCCGGGGAGTTGTCACCTCCCCTCCCTGCCCAGCAGACGGAGACGCCCAGGGCTGCCCTCGGGGCTGGGACCGAGCCCTGGGTCACCTGTCCCGTTCCTGAGAGGAATGTGAAGCTGCAGGACCCTCTCTGGGGCTGTGAAAGGACCCTACCAGCCCGAGGGTCTCCCTGGAGGGCGCTGCCCCAGCTCTTGGTGGGGACAGGGGGTGACAGCGCAGCTCGGGGTCCCGCTGAGCTGGGCACAGCCGGGCTTGGCCAGGCAGGGTTTGTCACCAGCTGCTGTCGTGCTTGGGGACAATGGAGGAGCCCAGGGTGGCACCCGGAGCTGGTGGCACCCAGAGCAGGTGGCACCTGGGGCTGGTGGCATTCGGAGCAGGTGGCACTCGGCGCTGGTGGCACTGGGCAGGGACACGTTTACACCCATACCCGGGRGCACACCCAGCGCTGCTGGCAGCTCCTCAGCCCTGTTTGCCGTGCCCGTGTGACCGGCAGTGACCTCCCCAAAACCCTCCGCGGATTAACCCCTGCTCTGACGCTCTTCCCGCAGAACGGCATCGTCCACCGCGACCTGAAGCTGGAGAACATCCTGCTGGATGCCAACGGGAACATCAAGGTGAGGGGTTGGCACAGCCTGGCCACGCTCAGGGGTCACCCAAGGGYGGCTGCCCAGCGTGGAGGGACAGGAGGTGACCACAACACCTCAGTCCTTTCAGAGCTGGCGCTTCCCAGAGCTCCGGCACAGCCAGGAATGCTGTTTTCCCAGGAAAACAGGAGCGGGAGGGCTGGCAGAGCCTGGCAGGCGTGTAGGAGATCTCGTAAATCCATAACAGATATCTGCCCGCTGATAAGAGGGCAAAGTCTGAGCTCCCAGATCAGCGCTGCCTGGCTGAGAAGGGCTTTTTTCCCGGTTTCTATTCGTGCCAACCGGGCTGGCACAGGGAATTCCGGGCCAGCTCCCAACTCCGCGGGCCCCGAGYGCTGCTTTTGGCCAGGGAGGAAGGGCACGGAGCGGCCCCGGCCGGGGATTCCCGCGGCCGCTGATAACAGCCCGCGGGATTTATCTCCAGCGGGGATAATTCCGCTCTCGGGAGCCGCAGAACCGCCCGCTCGGCGTGAGGTGTGGGGTGTAATGAGGATAATGAGMGCCTGCGGCTGGCGGAGCTGATAGGGACCGCTGCAGCCTCGCGGGGCTGGGAATGAGCTGGAGGAGAGCCTGGAAGCGCTTCCGACCGCGCCTTTCCACTCTGCTCCTGCTGCCGGGGCTGCGGTGAGGATTTTGGGAAGGAGAGAGCAACAGGAGAATCCTCAGGGATGGAAAAACAGGCTGGTGGTGCCCCCTGAGGGGATTCAGGACCGGGGAGAGCCCCGGTTTGAGCCAGAATCATCCTCGGAGGGTTCCAGGGAAACTTCCAGCCTTGGGAAATTTGGGAAGGGGAATTTTGCCGCTGGATGACCACTGTGTTTGTCCCCCCAGATCGCGGATTTCGGGCTGTCCAACGTTTTCCAGCAGGACAAACTCCTGCAGACCTACTGCGGCAGCCCCCTGTACGCGTCCCCCGAGATCATCAACGGCCGGCCCTACAAGGGCCCCGAGGTGGGTGGGGAATCACTCTGGGGGTTTTGGGGTAACAGGACCCCTCTGAGCCCGGGTTCTGAATGGGGTTTTGGGGTAACAGGACCCCAGATCCCGGGCTCTAAATGGGGTTTGGGATAACAGGACCCCTCTGAGCCCGGGCTGTGAATGGAGTTTGGGGTTTGGGGTAGCAGGACCCCTGAGCCCGGGCTCTGAATAGGGTTTGGGGTAATGGGATCCCTGACACCAGTCACTGAGCAGGATTTGGGATAACGGGACCCCAGATCCCGGGCTCTGAGCAGGGTTTGGGGTAATGGGACCCCCCTGAGCCCTGCACTGCGGGGTTGGTGTGAGGCAGCCACATGGGGTGGATGTTTTGGGGGCCCTGCCCCACCCTCTGCCCCTTCTCTGTGGCCGCTGCCATCCCGGAAGCCCTGACGAGGCTCTGGCAGGGTGGGGACCAGGACAGCCAGGTCCTGCCGTCCCCTCCAGGCCCCTTTGTCCCTTTGCCAGGTGGACAGCTGGTCCCTGGGCGTCCTCCTCTACATCCTGGTCCACGGCACGATGCCCTTCGAYGGCCACGACTACAAGACTCTGGTCAAGCAGATCACGAGCGGTGAYTACCGGGAGCCCACGAAGCTCTCAGGTGAGGACACCCCCGTGTCACCCCGCGTGTCCCCTGACCCCGCGTGTCCCCCTCCCCCCTGACCTGTCCCTTCCGCAGACGCCTGCGGGCTGATCCGCTGGATGCTGATGGTGAACCCGGAGCGCCGGGCCACCATCGAGGACATCGCCACGCACTGGTGGGTCAACTGGGGCTACAGAATGCCGCTGGGCGAGCAGGAGCTGCTGCGCGACAGCGAATCGCCGCTGGCCACCGTGGCCGAGTGGCTGCGCCGCTCGTCCCGGCCGCTGCTGGAGAACGGCTCCAAGGTGCGCTGCTTCCTGAAGCAGCACATCCCCGGCGCGGCCCTGGAGCGCCAGCGCTCCCTCAAGAAGTCCAAGAAGGAGAACGACGTCTCGCACGCGTTGCAGGAGGGACCCGCCGGCCCCGAGAACCCCTCCAAGTCCATCCTCAAGCGGCCCAAGGGCATCCTGAAGAAGAGGAACTCSTGCGAGCAGAAGGTGCCCGGTTCCCCGCCCGGGGAGGATGGCGAGGGGGTCCCCGCGGGTCTCACCCGGATCCTGTCCTCTGGAGTGCTGCCYGGAGCGGCAGCGGTGCCCGCGGCCGCGCCCAAGAAGGGAATCCTGAAGAAGCCCTCGGCCAGGGAATCGGGCTATTACTCGTCCCTGGAGTGCTGCGAGTCCGGGGACGTGCTGGACGCGGGGAGCTTGGACCTGGACGGGAGCGTGTTCGCCGAGCCGCCCTCCCCGAGCCCGCAGGGCCTCCCCGCCCGCAGGAAAGGCATCCTCAAACACAACGGCAAATTCTCCTCGGGCAGCGCCGAGCCGGGGACTCCYCCCGGGCAGGGCTTCGGGGGCTTCAGAGAGGTTCCCCTTCCCCCCGGCCCCCGCGGCCGCCCGGGCAGCGCAGTCAGCGAGGACAGCATCCTTTCCACCGAGTCCTTCGATCAGCTGGACCTGCCCGCCCGCGTCCCCCCCGGCGGCGGGGCCATGCGGGGCTGCGTGTCGGCCGAGAGCCTGCTGCGGCTGGAGGAGGAGGAGGAGCGGGAGGAAGGGCGGAGGCTGCGCCGCTGGACTGTCACCCACTGCCGCAGCCCCCTGGCCGAGAGCCGCGCGTCCCTGGCGGGCTGTGACAATGGCACCGAGCTCTACCGGCGCGCCGTGCCCGTGGGGGTGAAGCTGAGCTGAGGCTGCTCTCCCTCGCCGCTGGGCTTCATCCCCACGGGTGGGGCATTTTGGGGAGGGGGCCGAGCTCTTCTTGCCYTCTGCGCTCCCCCGGGGTGGTGATTTTGGGGAGGGGGCCAAGCTCTCCATCCCTTCCCCGGGGTGGTGATTTTGGGGAGGGGRCCGAGCTCTCCATCCCTTCCCCGGGGTGGTGATTTTGGGGAGGGGACCGAACTCTCCATCCCTTCCCCGGGGTGGTGATTTTGGGGAAGGGGCCGAGCCCTCCCTCCCTTCCCCGGGGCTGCCGGTGCTGCTGATCCACATCCCACATATTTATTTGGCAGCCTCGGGGCGGGGGCAGTGCCCGGGKGATACCCCAGGGCCGGGACATTTAATGGACTAAAAACCCCCAAAATGACCCCGAGGAGGGGCTGGGGGGTCCCAGAGGCTCCTCGCTGCCGTCCTCCCCTCTCAAACAGGCTCATCTCACCTCGGGGGTGAAAGCGAAGGGTTGGGGGAGGGATTTTTGTTTTCTTTGCACTGTTTTTTTGGCTGCACAAGGTATGGGAGGGGGCGGGCGATATTACCTCAAACAAGCCGGAGATGTAGCAGGGTGCTGGCGAGGGCCCAAAGGTGCTGCCCGTGGGCTGGGCTTCCCGAGGTGCTGGTGGCCACAGCGCCCAGGCCACGGCTCTGCCCTCTCCTGTGCTGACAAACCCGACTGGAAGCGGCCAAAACCCCGGGCTGAGAAATGCTGGGACGCCGACATCTCTCATCGTAACACAGAAAAAAAAAAAGGAAAAAAAAAAAAAAAAAAGGTGCCTTTTGGTGAGGCGCTACATCTTTATTTATTGCCATTGTCCACGCCGGTGTGGAGGGCAGCAGCACGGGTGTGTCTGGCTCCACAGCCCCCTCCCAGGGGTGTTTTTTGGGAGGTGGCTGTGTCCCTGTGTCACACGGCTCCCTTGCACTATTGCCACGCGTGCTCGCTGGCCCTTTCCCCTCTCCAGGCTCTGTGCGTTCGTGTTTTCCCTCCTTCCTACGGCGCGGGCTGGAGAAAACCATTAAATTAAAAGCAAATGGTAAAAGCTGAGTGGTCAACTCGATTGCTGGGGGTGAGGGAGGGGCTGTCCGGGCCGGGCTGGTGTCCCTGTCCCTGTCCCTGTCCCTGTCCTTGTCCCTGTCCGTCCAGAGCGTCCAGTCCCCGAGGGTGGGTGAGCTCAGCCTGATCCCGCGGGGTGCTGGAACGCCTTTGCACCCTCAAACTGGGTTTAACTGGTGCCTCCCCCAGTGCTCTGTGGTGCTGARCTGGGGCCAGGCACATCCCTGATGTGGGAGTGGGAAATCTGCGTTTTAAGGCTGAGCAGCTGCTGGAWAAACAGAGCCCAAAATTGAGGGAATTTGATGAGAATCCCCCTCCTCCCCGGCCCCGCTGCCAACCCTGCCGGTTTGAATTTGGGGAACATCCCCCAGTTTTTAGCAGCACGACCTCCCTCGCCACCCTTCCCTTCATCCCCGCTGAGGCTCAAACCCCATTTGATCCCTCCAGAGCCATTTCCCGTTTCCAGCTGGATTAACAAGAGCCCTCCCGCCCCCTCCTTCCCTCCTTCCAGCGCAGCAGGGACAGGGTGGCAGGGCTATGCCCGGAATGCCACCCCTGTCGCACCGGGCTGTGCCCGGGGGGGTCACCCATCGCCCCCCGGCGCGCATTCCCCGCGTGCTTCCCGAGCCATTGGGAAACTCCGCAGCGCTTAAAGCCGCTCCGAGAGCGTCCGGCTTAGCCCGGGCAAAGTCCCGCTGCGGGGGCGGGGTGAGCTCAGCCGGGCACGGGGCGCAGGGTCCTTTTTGGGAAAAGATCCGTGGGTTTGGTGTTGGAGCATCCCGGGGCTCTGCAGATCTGTTATGTTTCTTTTCTTTTTCTTTTCTTTTCTTTTCTTTTCTTTTCTTTTCTTTTCTTTTCTTTTCTTTT